ACATGATATGAATCAGAAAGTATTCCAGCCTTTGCTAAGGTGCTGTGTGTTGGTCATGCTTTCAATATGTCAGCTGGCAGTATACAGCTCTGACTTAGCCTTCACTTCCAGTTTGCGTGAACCTTCAAGATCAGTAAAAAAGACAGGTATGTGCAGTCCTGTTCATGGGAATCATTGTAGACTCCCAGGAAAATGTCAAACTTTTCAAAGCTTCCCATGGACATTTCATTTCCCACTGTTCCCTTTTAAGTTTTTTTTCTGTCAGGCTGTATTAGTGTCAACTGACTCAGAGTGGTGACATTAAACAATGACTGCTTTAATCAAGACCCTGGAGATTGGACCAGTCATATTGAGTAGGCTCTAAAATAAGCCTTGAGAAAGATGTTTTTCAGGAAACTGCCAGAGAGGCCAAATAGTGACAGTTCTCTGGGCTGGGGCTTTTGGGGAAGCTGCAAAGCTGTTCTATTCCCTCCAAGGTAGTGAGGCTGCTGTGTTGTAAGGTTAACTTTCAAGGCTACCATGAAGGTGGGGAAAGAGGATGAAACAGGGCAAGTTAAACTGCCATAAAGTTTGCTATTCTTAATGAGACTTTGCTGTTTTCGTCAAATAAACACTCCTAAGAGTATCGTAAACCTGTAAACCTGTACATCCTAGAGTTTTAACAAAGCTGATTTTGGGGGCCGGCAGGTGGAGTGGTGATTAACGATGCTGGATTCCCACCTGGCCGACCACAGTTCAAGTCCCAGACCTGGTGGCTTTCTTTCTTTCTCTCTCTTTCTGTCTTGCTCTCACTCTGTCCCTCTCTAATCAAATTAAAAATAAATAAATGAATAAAGTTAAATAAAACAATTCTTAGGGGAATAAAAGCTGATTTGGAGGGGGGGTCAACAGGTGGCCTGGTGATTAAGGTTCTGGCCCATCCTAAAAGCTAAGTGTGACCATGTATACTCGCTGCTCTATCTACTTGGTAAGCTGAGGTGAGGCAAGAGGACAGGAATAACGCAAGACT